GTGTGTGTGTGTGTGTGTGTGTGTGTGTGTGTGTGTGTGTATACCACATCTTCTTTATCCATTCATCTGTCGATGGACATCTTGGCTCTTTCCATAGTTTGGCTATTGTGGACATTGCTGCTATAAACATCGAGGTGCACATACCCCTTCGGATCCCTGCATTTGTATCTTTGGGGTAAATACCCAGTAGTGCAATTGCTGGGTCATAGGGCAACTTTATTTTCAACTTTTTGAGGAACCTCCATACTGTTTTGCAGAGTGGCTGCACCAGCTTTCATTCCCACCAACAGTGTAGGAGGGTTCCCCTTTCTCCACATCCTCACTAACATTTGTCATTTCCTGACTTGTTAATTTTAGCCATTCTGACTGGTGTGAGGTGGTATCTCATGGAGGTTTTGATTTGGATTTCCCTGATGCTGAGTGATGTTGAGCATTTTTTCATGTGTCTGTTGGCCATTTGGATGTCTTCTTTGGAAAATTGTCTGTTCATGTCTTCTGCCCATTTCTTGATTGGATCAACCCTCATGAAGATTTAAAATAGTGTTTTTACAAACACTTTTCAAATAGACAAAGGATCTAAAAAATGCTTTATTGTGTGTTACACGACAGGTACTTTTAAGACTCTAAGTGTGGCTTGTCCTACTGCAGACTTTCAAAGAGCATAAAGTAGAGATAAGCATATTTGAATATACTTGTGCATGTGCCACTTTCTAATAAGAATGGATTGTATATCAAAACATAAGAAATCAACAGTTTTAAAAAGGATTAGACCAACTTGAAAGTATCAGAGAAAGTGAAAAGTGAAAAGAAGCCCTTGGATCTTCAAATTACTATAGGAAGAAAGTAACACAGTTGCAAACACTATGGAAAATAATAATTCAGAGGGCAAAACAGCCAAAAATGCAGAACCAAGATTCATGGAGAAAAACATATGAAGGGAACTGGCACATATTTCCAGCTGGATTTCAGAATTGCTGTGGGCAAGTGTCTCCTATGTGTCCTTTTCTTCTTCTGTGTATATATGGAGAATATATGGTGGTTTTGCCATTCCTGTCTCCTCACCATTGTATGTTGGAGGTGGTGGTAGAAGGCACATATCTTGTCTCTTTAGTTCACAGGTTTTCAGATTGAGAGGAATGATATTCAAGGAATTATATCCAAGGAATTGCACCTGAGGGTGCTCATCTGAACTGGAACATGACTTAGTTATGGATACCTCAAACCTCAGACTGATTCTCTAATGAGAAAAGATTTAGGAGTCTTGGGATAGGTGATGTGGCTATATTTTCATGTGAAATGATGTCATTGTGAGATTGGCAGATTATATATTTTAAAGATGGTCATAAATATATCTCTTCTTATGTGGTGACTTTGACATTCTTCCCTTCAATAAGTGGAGTTTATATCTTATATCCCTGCTCTTGAGTCTGGGAAACCTGGAGGTGATGATGGAAATGACTATATGTGTCTGCCTACACTAGGTAATAATAGCAGTGTAACTTTTGCCCTGCAGGCTGGAACAATTGTGCTGGAATCCTAAACTGCTTCCTAAACTATCCAATGTTTTGAAAGGCTTCCATGTTGTAAGGACACCCAGTTTAGTTCAGACAGAGACCCTAGGACTACATGAAGAGAATGAGATATCAGCCATTCCTCAGCTGCTTTTGCATACCTCCACCCTACCTGCTACTATTTCATCACCAGCCACTATCTGGGTATGATCTCATGAGTTATCTTGACAGAACCATGAATCGAGCCCTTTCCGAGTTCTTGATGCACAGAAACTAGGAGATATGAAAAATATTTGTTTTTTTTTTTAAGATTTTATTTATTTATTTATTTGAGAGAGAGAATGAGAGAGAGAGAGAGAGAGAGCATGAGAGGGGGGAGGGTCAGAGGGAGAAGCAGACTCCCCGCTGAGCAGGGAGCCTGATGCAGGACTCGATTCCGGGACTCCAGGATCATGACCTGAGCTGAAGGCAGTCGATTAACCAACTGAGCCACCCAGGCGCCCCTATATTTGGGGTAATTTTAAGCCACTAAGTTTGGGTGATTTTCTATGCAGATGTAGGTAACAAGAACCCCTAGCCAGTCAAATTTTTATTTCAGATGTTTTGGGTTTTATTTCTACAAGTTTTATTTGATTCTTTAATATGTATACTCTATTTCCCTCATTATGTTTGTGTTTTTCTTTAGGTCCTTGAGCATGTTTATAGCTATTTTAATATCTTGTGTTATTCTTCCATTATTTCTGTCATCTGCATCAGTTTTTATTGACTGATTATTTCTGGGTTATGAGTCACATTTTCCTACTTCTTTGTGTATTTAATAATTTTGGGGTTGGGTATTGGACATTGTAAGTTTTTTTTTGGAGTTTTCTTTTTTATCCTTTAAAGACTGTTGAAGTTTGTTTTGACCAGTAATTTATTTATTTGCAAATTAATTTGTAAACCTTTAGAGGTTTCCCTTGAATACCCCAGGTATTTATTTCTTTGCACTCTGGATGATCAGATTTTAAACATCTCTTATCCCAACATGTGATTATTTAGGAATTATTCAGTACCACCCTCTACCCATCCAACCCAGTACTGGTTCTCTTCCTAGCCCCTAGGAGTTTCATTCTAGGCATCCCATGCTTTATGTTTAATAACTGATTCAAAGAAAGCTTTACAAAAATTTATGGAACTCTTGTGTTTAGCTAGCTCCTAGCTTGTACTTTGCCCCTCAAATTCCAGCCCCTTTTATGTGTGTGTCTGACTGAACACAGACAGGCTGCTATCGTCTGTTTCCATTAGCTCTTCCTGCATCACGATATGGAAGGTGCCTCCTTAAGGAAGCTGGGCTGGTTTTAAGACTCCAGTTATTTCCTTCTCTTAGGAATAACAGTCCTGTGCTGCTATTTTTCAGTTGGGAAATCCTGTGTTTGAAAACACATGTTTCATGTATTTTGTCCTATTTTCTCATTCTTTTTTTTAAATACAGAATGCCTCATGAGTTTGTGTGTCATCCTTGCATGGGAGCCATGCTAATCTTCCCTTGTATCGTTCCAATTTTAGTATATGTGCTGCTGAAGCAAGCACCTATTTTCTCATTCTTTATTGTAGGAGACCCAGTTACTCCATCAGAGTGGAAGTGATGGCCTCGAGTCTCCGTAAAACTAATTTTTTAAAACTAATTCTCTAAATTATCACCCACCGTTTTCCCCCCATGATGTGTTCTAATTTAATTTTTGTAACTTTATCTTCCAATGTGGCACATCAGCCTGGTCATCCTTCTAGTCTATCTAGTGTTTTCTTTAAAGACCACATTTTCCAAGTTTACTGTTTCTGTTTTATTTTTGGCATTTCCTTTAAAATCCCCTTGTTATTTTATAGATTCTATTTCTTTTTCTTTAGAAGTTTAAATCATAAAGTCCTAATCATCTTTAAATTTTTAGCTATTTTCTTGTTTGTGTTGTCTCATAGTAGTGGATTCTCATGTGTTTTGTAGATTTTTCCTGTGGATGTCAAATAGGCGTTTTCTTCTTTGAAAATCTGTTATACCTGTGTCTTAGGTTAAGCAGTTGTCCTTGTAGAATATTTTGATTTTGTTTGGCCGGGGTCATGTGGACTGGTTAAAGACCAGTTTTATATTAGTTTCTCAGTTTGAGTTTAACAGGTTAATTTTATTTGGGACCCAGTACTTCTATGTGCATAATGCCTGGTTTTCTAATATCCATATTACTTAAAAAAAGTAATGTTGTTTTTTTTTTCTTCTTTTCCAGTCAAGATTTGGGACTGATAACTTACTTTGGCTGTGCCCACTCTGTGTCTGTGCCAGTAGGGGCAAAGTTTTGTTCCTATTTTCGATGAACAGCTTATGTCAGGGTTTCTCTTTTGTCAGGCTCTCTGACATGTAAACAAACAAGCAAACAAAATCTGTTATAGTGCTTCATCAAGAACAGGTCTGACTGCCTTAAGTTCATTCCTAAAATAGGTGCCTAAACCTCAAATTGTATGTCCATGTCCAATATATTCATGTGGTATTTGTATGTTAGAATTAAGAAGGAAGTCTTGTCCTGTGGCTTTAATCTGACATCTTGAGCAGAAGTTGTAATATCAATACGTTATCTCTCCTCTTCTTTGTCAAAGTAACTTATATTTGTGAATACTATTAGATAATCAGCCAAATACAATTTTCTTTTATTATGTAGGTTGTTTGATATGTTACATTAGTAATATATTAAACGATACTCTTGTTTATGATTTTGAAATTGTTGTATTTAAAAATATTTTAATATTTTAGTATATACCAGAAATTATCCTAGGTGACCTAGGGGGAACATAAACAATGGGGTTCACCAGGCCTTCCGACCATGGAGAGCATTCTGAAGGACTCCTACAGACACTCAAGGGCTGGTTCCTTTAAATTCTAGTTGCCCTTTTAAACCGCAGCTAGGTTTTTTTTTTTTTTTTTTATGCCCCACGGCAGACAAATCTGCTCCTAGTCTCTCAGTACTATTTCTCCCCACTGCAGTTCACACTCTCCCGAACTGGGGTTCCTGTGGTTACCCTGTCTTCATCTCTTGCTGTTCCAATGTGGTTCCTTTACCCTTTGGGGTGCAGATGCTATTCAGTAAGTCCTCAGTTCTTCTTAAGTAGGAATTGCTCTATATGTAGGCATCCATTCAGTGTGTTCGTGGAAGAGGTGAGTTCATGGTCTTTCTGCATCGCCATCTTGGACCCTCTCCTATTCATTAAATTATAAAAATGCCCTATATACATATATTTGTATATATATTTGCCATATATATATGCATATGTCCTATATTTCTGAAAAATTCTATGAATTCTGTTAGGATTTTAAAAAGCCTTGAAAGAGATGACAGTTAAATTATATTATGGACTATAATATTTACAGATAATATGATTTGTGGGTTTTGTTTCAATATAATATAGAAGTTGGTGGAGTATCAATTTAAAAAGATTGACCATAAGTTGTTCATTTTTGATCCTGGATGATAACTACATAGGAGTATATTATACTATTCTCTCTACTTTTTAAAGGATAAAAGTTTTCCATTAAAATGTTTTAAAAGTATTATATCTTTTCAAACTTTTTAAGCAGCATAAAATTATGGCATTCCATGAATTCTTTTATTATATAAAGATATGTACTTTGCATTTAAAAATTTAAACTCACTATGTATTGCTAAAGTTGTGCTATTTAAAGCAGAAAATTTCAAAATTGCATCTAAATAGAAAACAAAACTATTGAAAAGCTAATAAACCCTAAGCAGGAGCCTCATTACACAACAGGGCCTTATTATCAATTCCATTTATTGTTAATGACATACACTTGGAGCAATGGTTCTAACTGAAGCTTAATTTGAAGACAAAACAGCAAACTTCTTAGGCCTTTTTTTTCTTTTGTAGTAAGTTTCTCAATGTGAAATTTGATAAAATGCAAAGAGTATTTTATTGTTGGAATCCAATATTCACCCAGAATATATCCTTTTTGAAAGAACAATATAGAAAGATAATTGGGGGGAAGTAAAAGTTATGTGGAATGTATGTTGAATGCTTTCTCAAATCAGTGTAGCTAGTACTAAATCCAGATTACACTAATATTAAAAACATAATGTCATTTGTTACCTCTGAATGCCTTTTGGCACACAGTACAAGGACCACAGCTGGGCCTTTAGCTTGTTATTGATGTGTTTAATGAAGCCATCCTTTTGAATTGTTAGTTGTCCTTTTTAAAACAAAAGTGTTTTTCCTGAATAATTTGACTATCTTTTTGATATTTTTCAACTTCTTCAATCAGTTATTTTCCAGGCAATATTAATCAAGCAGAAAGATATCATTTTTGAACATGGATACTAACCTTTTATAGAATCATTTTAACTAGGAAAAAAGCATGATATTGTATTCTCCTAAGATTCACTAGATTGGCTTGAAAGTAAACTACAGTTAAAAGAATCCTGCTTTCTCTAAAGCAGACTGTTTACACCCAGGGAAATTTTTATGTCCCTTGTGGTTGAAGGCACTGTGGAGCCAGCTTGAGTTATTAAAGAAGATTGTAAACCGTAACTATTGCTAAGATCTATTCAGGTCTGTTCCTCAAAACATCTTGGTACAAACTAAAGGACATGAAGTCTGGCTTCATTTCTTTGATAGAGTATATTTCTACTACATCAAATACATGTCTGTATACTGAGCGAGGGAGTTACCCTGTATGTGTGTCTCAGTAGTCTCTATACCCTGTCCACTAAAGGTCTTCCCTCTATATAGAAGAAGAGGAAGAAGTCAGTTTTCTTTTATTTAATGATGACCTCTATCAGTTTGCATTTTGGAAACTAATAAACAACAATAAGACTTTGGATATTAAAATACTTCTTATCTCTAACTGGAGATAAGATATGGCCTACTATATTTCTGGAGTGGAACCACTTAGCCTGAAGGTAATACATGCTTTTTTTCATTTCTTTCTGATAAGAAAGAGTCACTTCCCTTTGATTTAAGTTCTCATAAAGTAGGTAATATATTTTATGATTAATTTTAGCTCCTAATCATATGCATATTGAATAAGAGATTCAGAAAAGACTGAGAAAATAACTATGTACCTTTACTTACATTTAATAGTCAGTATGATTTATGCATTCAACACATTTTTTTTTAAGATTTTATTTATTTATTTGACAGAGAGAGACACAGCAAGGGAGGGAACACAAGCAGGGGGAGTGGGAGAGGGAGAAGCAGGCTTCCCGCTGAGTGGGGAGCCTGATGCGGGGCTCGATTCCAGGACCCTGGGATCATGTCCTGAGCCAAAGGCAGACGCTTAATGCCTGAGCCACCCAGGCCCCCTATTTGGTTTTTTTTTTTTTTTTTTTTTTAATGAATCTTGTGGAAATATATTGGCAGGATAGCTATCATTTTAGATCATCTTTTTATATTCTAAATTTAAAGACAACATAGACACTTGTTTCTGCCTAGGCCCCACTTCTAGGCCCTACTGTCTGCTTCAATCACTGTAAAGTCAATTAGGTGAGCAAAGACTTTAGTTTTGCTTAAATGCAATCTTACTTTGTCTTCTCTAGAGCCTATTTCTTGTACCTCTGCAATTTGTGAGGTCTTTGGGAAATTACTGGGACTCATTTTGAGCCACCCAAATTTCAGGGGGCATTAACACCTTTGGAACCATCCTTGACCAATGAGGACAGGGATACAGTGCATAAAATGTCTTCTTGATGTGGTTTTGGAATATAGATGAGGTTCAGTGGGGTGAGGTCTGGAGCCGACGACTGAGAAAGAATTCTTGAGATGTCTTTGTTGCAAAATGGTGGTTTATTAAAACACGGAGACAGGACCCATGGGCAGAAAGAGCTGCAGCACTGCGGTCTTGAGGAGTGGTGATTATATACTCAGGAGTTGGGGGAAGTAAGGAAAAGGGAGGTTTCAAAAGGACTTTGATATGCTAAAGAGGCCTGACTTACAAGATACCTACAAGATACCAGAGGCCTTGCCATTGTCATTATTAAGGTTGTTTTCCCCTCTAGCAAGGCATTAACATTAAGACAGTTGGGAGATTCCTGGAAGAATATCACACATGTCCCACCCAAGAGTAGGGGGTAAAGGGTAGTTGCAAGGTGTCAGCTTATGCTTTGTCTTCAGCCAGCCTTCTGCTCCCTCATCATTCTTCTGTGTCCCATGGGAAGACAGATCTGATGGTATTGCCCTGTCAACACGAGCCACCTATAAAGGTGCTAACCCAGTAATTCACTCTACTGGCTTTCCAGCTCTTTGGTTCATAGTGCCTTAGCGCCTCATCTCCCAACACCGCAAAATTTTGCTCCCTGAGACAATAATTCCAAATAAACCTCTGTCTCAGACTTTGATAAACTAAGTTTTTAATCTGGCACAAATTGCTTGAGGTCAAATCCTGACTGTTTCATAGCAGTTGTTACCTTACGGTGTTATTTAACTTCTCTAAGCCTCCATTTTCTTATATGTAAAACAGGAATTGTGCATTCCACAGCAATATTATAAAGGTTAAAATTACATAATTATGCAAATTATTTAGAATATGTTTTGCCTGTGGG